TAGGCGAGAGTTTCTTGCTAGTTGTTCGATCCTATAGTCGGAGGTTTCAACTGTGGTGTCAAGTGTGATTCAAGATCTGGAGTGTGTAACAATGGTGAGTACAGAAACTGAAGTTACAGGGTCAACTAGCCATGGCAGATCTCAGCCCAGTGTGGTTGACTATAATCATCCTCTGTTTCTTAATCCTTCAGAGGTCAGTGGTGTCCAAATCATATCTTTTCAACTTACATGTATTGAAAATTACTCAGTTTGGTATAGATCCATGCGGGTAGCCCTTTTGGGTAGAAATAAGTTGGGTATGGTAGATGGGACTTGTGCTAAAGATAAGTTTCTAAATGAATTGGGGAACCATTGGGAGAGGGTGAATGCAATAGTATTGGCTTGGATAATGAACTTTGTTGCTAAAGAATTACTTGGGGGTATAATGTATGCCTTGATAGCTAAATCAGTGTGGGATGATCTATATGAAAGATTCCATAAAGTTGATGGTGTGAGAACTTTTAATCTGCACAAGAATATTGCTTCTTTGAGTCAAGAAAATATGTCTGTCTGTGTGAGTATTTCTCAAAACCTAAAGACTTATGAGATGAATTTGAGGCACTAGTTCCAACACCAGGGTGTGATTGTGATAAATCGAAAGACTTTGTGGTACATCTTCAGAAACTGAAGTTGTTTCAATTCTTGATGGGGTTGAATGACTCGTATGTTCAAGCAAGAAGTCAAATCTTGCTCATGAGCCCTTTGCCCTCAGTAAATCAAGCCTATGCCATGATTGTGAGTGATGAAAGTCATAGGGCTAGAGTTTCAAGTGCTGGGGTGTTGGGAGTAAGGCCAACAACTCATTTGAAAGAGTTTGAAGTGGCTTTGTACGCAAGAAGTCAGGGACAAAGGCCTAAGAAAAACTACAATGTTCAGTGTGATTTCTGCAAACTAAGGGGTCATAGTAGAGAGAATTGTTGGAAGTTGAATGGCTATCCTCCTGATTTTAAAACGAAGAGAAAACAAAAGTTGGAAGGAGGAGCTGCCTACAATGTGTTAACTGGTCAGTTTGATGAACAAGACACTCAGGCCAGTTCAAAGACAGGTGATCAAGGAAGGTCTAACGTACATATGTCTATGATAAGTCAAATGGGTAAAGCAGTCTTCACTCAGGAGCAATACAATCAGATTCTGCAGATGATTCACACAAGCAGTGTGTCACCTTCTCAAGAAACTGGTTCAGCAGATGTGGCAAATGTTGCAGGTATTAGCAGTGTTTCCTTCCCGTCTTCTGAGTCAAAACAGTGGATCATAGATACAGGGGCTACACATCACATAGTGTCTAAGTTAAGTTTGCTTGATGAGTCTTCTATAGTACAACCTGAAGTAGTAAAGAAGGCCTGTCTTCCTAATGGTGATACATCTGTAGTGACTAATGTGGGTAGAAGTTATTTGTCTGAGGGAAATAATGTCTCTAATGTTCTTCATATACCTCAGTTTAGTTATAATTTTCTCTCAGTGTCTAAAGTAACCAAAGAATGGCAGTGCTCAGTTAGTTTCTTTCCTGATTTCTGTGTGTTCCAGGATCTTTACACTGGGAAGGTGAGAGCAATTGGAATGATTAATGGTGGGCTATATTTTCTAGCTGATCAGAGTGTTAAGAAGTCCATCAAGGAAGGAGCAAATGAAGCATTAGTTGCAAATACTCTAGAGAAGAAGACTCAAGCAGAAGTGGACTTGTGACATAGAAGGCTTGGACATGTGTCTTCTAGTGTACTAAAAAAAGTTTTATCTATAGAGAAATATGTGGATATAGATAATAGACTAAAAAAGTGTTCTGTGTGTCCTAGTGAAAAACAGACTAGGTTGTATTTTCCTTCTAGCATTATTAAAACTACTTGTTGCTTTGAACTTGTGCACATGGACTTATGGGGTCCCTATAGAGTTCCAACTATGAATGGTAATAGGTACTTTTTCACAGTTGTTGATGATTTTTCGAGAGTAACTTGGGTGTTTTTGTTGAAATTATAGACTGATGTTTTTATCCAAGTTAAGTAGTTTGTCATTTATGTGCAGACACAGTTTCATAAGGTAGTAAAAATGATAAGAATAGATAATGGGTCTGAATTTGTGAATTCACTGTGCAGTAGCCTGTTCAAAAACCTTGGAATTATTCATCAGACAACATGTGCTTACACTCCTCAGCAAAATGAAGTGGCAGAAAGAAAGCACAGACACATTTTAGAAGTAACAAGAGCACTAAGGTTTCAAGGGGAAATTCCAATAGTGTTATGGGGGAATTGTGTGTTAGCAACTGTGTACATCATAAATAGGTTGCCAAGCTCAGTTGTACATTATCAAACTCCATATGAAAGGTTGTATGGGAAGAAGCCAAGCTATGATCATCTGAGAGTAGTGGGGTGTTTGTGTTATGCTAAGGTACTTAATGAGCATGACAAATTGTTGACTAGAACAAAGCCTACTGTGGTTATGGGGTTTTCTGATACTCAAAAAGGGTATGTCTTGTATGACATGAAAAATAAGTCCTTCTGTGTAAGCAGAGATGTCTCCTTTAGAGAAGATATTTTTACTTTTAAGGAACATAATAAGGCTGTTAAAGAGCCTCAGTGTGTGTTTCCTGTGAGTGATCAGTCAAAAAGGCTAAGTGACACAATTACAAATGATGAGACAATTCAAGTTACTCCTGAAATAGATGATGAGAGTCATGAATCTACAGGTTCACAAGATGTAGTCTTAGACTCTCAGAGTAACCAACATGAGGTGACACAAGAGGCTACTGATACAGACATATCTCACAAGGTGCAAGATCAGAGAAAGTCAACTAGAGACAGGAAAACACCAATCTGGATGACTGATTTTGTCTTTTTAAACATTCACAAAGATGTGCCTTATGCTCTGTCTAAGTATGTCTCTTATGAGAGGTTATCAAAAAAGTATTTGGCATGTGTAGCAGCCTATTCATTAGTGTCTGAACCAGCCTCCTACTTAGAGGCAAGTAGAGATTCAAGGTGGGTTCAGGCTATGAAAGAGGAAGTAGATGCCTTGAATCACAATCATACTTGGGATGTGGTTGATTTACCTGAAGGCATGAAACCTATTGGGTGCAGATGGGTGTACAAGGTAAAGTATAATGCCTCAGGTGAGGTAGAAAGATTTAAAGCTAGGCTTGTTGCAAAAGGGTACAATCAAAGAGAATGTATAGATTTTAAAGAGACTTTCTCTCCTGTAGTAAAAATGAAAACTGTAAGAACTGTGTTGGCAACAGCAGCAAGGAAAAAATGGTTTGTTCATCAGATGGATGTTTATAATGCCTTTTTGAATGGTGACCTGACTGATGAGATATATATGGACTTGCCTTAGGGATTTGCAAGCCAGGGCGAGAACAAGGTGTGTAGACTAGTCAAATCCCTATATGGTTTAAAACAGGCTTCTAGACAATGGAATACGAAGTTGTCAGAGGTGTTGTTGAGGTTCAGGTTTGTTCAAAGTCAATATGATCCCTCTTTGTATATTAAGAAGACGCCTGAATGAGTCATACTTGTATTAGTATATGTAGATGATATGTTGGTCACTGGTGATAGTCTGAAGCTGATAGAGGAAACCAAAAATACTTTGCGAAAAGCTTTCAAGATAAAAGATTTAGGAGAATTAAGATTTTTCCTTGGTATTAAGTTTGCAAGATCTGACAAAGGAATACTGATGCATCAGAGAAGATATGTATTAGAGCTATTGGATGACTTGGGGTTAGGAGCAGCGAAGCCAGTTGGAGCTCCCATGGACTATAACCTGAAACTCACCTCAAGACAGTTTGATGAACATGTCAAGCACATGAAATCAAGTAATGATCCTCCTACTGACCAAAGGGCATACCAAAGGTTAATTGGGAAACTGCTCTATCTAACAATGACCAGACCTGATATAGCATTTAGTGTACAAACTCTAAGTCAGTTTCTACAATGTCCTAAAAAGTCACACATGGAAACTGCAGTTAGAGTGGTAAGGTATGTCAAAAATCAGGCAGGGTTAGGAGTTCTTTTGTCTAGCAGTTCAGAAGAAAAGATCAGTGCTTATTGTGATGCTGATTGGGCATCTTGTCCACAGACTATCTAGTCTGTAACTGGTTATTTTGTGAAGCTGGGAAATTCAATAGTATCTTGGAAGTCAAAGAAACAGACTACAGTTTCCAGAAGTTCTGCAGAAGCAGAGTTCAGGAGTCTTGCAGCTATTATAGCGGAACTAGTATGGATACTAGGCTTGATGAAGGAAATTGGAAGTGAGGTAACACTCCCTGTGAGTGTCTTCAGTGATAGCAAGTCTGCAATGCAAATAGCAGCAAATCCTGTTTATCACGAGAGGACAAAATACATAGATGTTGATTGCTATTTCATCAGAGAAAAAATACTTCAAGGAATTATTACTACAAGTTACATTTCAACACAAGAACAACCAGCTGATATGTTGACTAAGGGGCTTACTAGAGTTCAACACAACTATCTTAATTCCAAGCTAGGACTGTGTGATATATTCTCCCCTTCCTAGCTTGAGGGGAAGTGTTGAGAGAAAATGAAAGAAGTGTTGGTATTTCCTAAAAGTAGTTAGTCTATAACTAACTCCAAGGTTAGTTAGATAGTAACGGTCATAAAGTACTTTATATAAGAGAGGCTTAGGTGTAATTGTAAAATTAGCTTTTTCCCTTCTCTGATTAAGTTCTTTGGTTAATAAAACAAATACATAATTTCTCTCTTCTTCTTCTTCTTCTTCTCCTCCTCTCTTTTCCTCTCTTTAGTTCTAGAATTTACTTCCAAGAACAATTTCATGTGCCACCGAAAGTTTATAATTGTTGTGTTTCTCAACATTTGCTGCCACTGCAATTTGCCAACCTTGCCAACCATTGACAATTGCATGCAGCAATTGTTGAAGTCAATAATGGAACAATGGGGCTGGACCCCACAGTATATAACAACAGTTGTTTCTCTTTTATCATTATTAGAACATATTACAACACCAAGTTACAACATAACAAAAAAGCAAAAGGGAAACAAGAATTAAAGGATGATGCCAACATAGGAAATAATGAAAATCAACCACCTAATGTTTGAGGAGAATTTCATTGATCAATTTGTCTATGTTCACATAAGATGATCCTGTTGGTTTTGCAGCCGCTTCTTCAGCCAATTTCTTCCACTCCATTGCCTTTTTCTTCATATCTTTACCTTTCTCGCCGACTGTTAACTCTCTCACAAGACTTTCAACTTCATCCCTTTTTACATTATTGTCAATTTCCATTCCAATTCCCCATTGGGTGCATTTGAACCAACAATTAGTCTGTTGTTCCGCGAAGAACGGCCAGCAGATCATTGGCACACCATTGCCAATACTTTCAAGGGTCGAATTCCATCCACTGTGAGTCAAGAAACCTCCAATAGCAGGGTGGCTAAGGACTTGTTCTTGCGGGCACCAACTTGTCAACATGCCTCTTTCTTTAGTTTCTTCCATGAATTCGGGTGGAAGAATTGCTTCTTCCCCTGATACAATATCAGGTCTTATGATCCATAAAAATTCCATTTGACTATTGGCAAGTCCCCACGCGAATTCAATAAGTTGGTTCGCAGTCATGACAGTAATGCTCCCAAAATTAACATAGACAACAGAATTTGGTTTCTTGGAATCAAGCCATTCTACACTTTTTGGATCCTCTTTCCAAAGATTGGATCCCAAGCGCTCCAAATTCTTGTCCTCAATATGTTTTACAAGAAAATGGAGGGGGCCAATCGTGTAGACCGGAGGAAGAAGTGTCTGAAGTGATTCAAGAACATCCTTCTCTAATGGATCAAATGTGTTGATTACAATAGCAGAAACCGATTTGCTTCTATCTGTTTCTTGGATGAGGAAGTTAAACAAAAAATCATCTGGATTTGTACTTCTCAAGAAACTTGGTAAATCCCTCAGACGTATGTCTTTCATGCCGGGTATCCAATCCAAAGCGGTCTCCAAATAGCCATTCGTTAAGTCACTTGCATCTACAATCTCCCCAAGAACAAAGGTTAAAACACAAACATATATAAAAATGGGGCCATTTTAAAACAGGACAAATGAAACAGAGTATACCTTTAAGTGGAAAGTATCCTTTTTTAGCAAGTTCGTGGTAATGCATGTAACCTAATAAACCACAAGCACTTGGAGTCCAAAAGAAAACTTCAGGAATGCCTAATTCTTGAGCAGCAGCTAGAGTGAAGCTCATAACACCATCGGAAATGATGCACGATACAGGTGGGACGTTAGATGAACAAGTGTCATTGAGCTTTGCAAGCAATTCCTTGAAAGGGCCTAAACAAGTTTTGGTAGTGGATTCACACAGAGCAGGAATATCTTGAGTTGAATCAGCATCACAAGGTGGGAGGCCATCAGGAATGGTCTCGAATTGAAAGGATGGCAAACCTTTGAGGGAATCAGGGCCGCGAGATTTAAGGAGACGTCTATGATTGTATTCATTGTTGACAAAAGTGATGTGAAAGCCTTTGTGATTGAGGATTTTGGCTAATTTTAACATTGGATTAATGTGGCCTTGGGCAGGGTATGGTATGCAAACTGCATGAGGCTTGTTATGATTTCCAATGGAACCCATAATAGCTTATTGTTTGTCTCAGAAGGGGAAATAGATTGGTTTGATTTTGGCTGGTTGAAGAATGTGCAGGTATGTATTTATAGAAGAGGTAGTGAGATGATAATTGTGAAGTGAAAGATCAAGCAAGAAAATTTGAAAGGGGAGAACAGTCAAAGTTGAATTCTAACACCTGGACAGTGAACACAATTAGCAGCACAAGCTTTTAATTTCTCACTGCCAATTAATGAAAAATTAAACCATCGTTTTTCATTCATTTCCTTCCTAACCAAAGATCATGACATATATATATCACAAGATTAAAAGATATTTTGATACATTTGATATATCCTTAATTTAAGATCACAAAATTCAAAAATTTATATTATCTTGTTAAACTCTGTTAAAGTGCGTGATCATCTCATGTAAAAGCTTAAGTTATTAGAGAGAGCACACTTTTATTAGTTAAATAATATTCTCAACACCACAACAAGTCAAAATAGATCAAACAAATAGAGAAGAAAGTACTATATTTTCTTTTCTCACTAACTCTATCAAAATATACATAGAAATAACGTTTAAACATTTTCTAATAAAAATATAGTACTAATATTTTAATAGTGTGTGTTGTTTCCTTCTTTTTCCTCCGTCGCTAGCTCCCAGCTTATTAAACTTACTTTTATTCTTTGCATTTTATTCGTCACTATTCCCACCCACCTACTGCAAAAGGAGATTCTCAAATGAAAAAAATATATATCATACAGTTAGCGTATCATATACACTTTTGAAAAATAATGATAATTATCTTGGTCGTTGCCCTCTGAAATGTATACGTAAAGGTCTTTGTCGATTCTTATCAACTATTAAACCATGACTAAGATAATGTTTATTAAAACAATTTATGCACAAAACTACTTGATTCTCTTGGTGGGATGTATTGATCTTGGAACAACCAAATTCACTAGTTTAAACAGTTATTTAATATATGATCTTATTGATTATTTAATATATATCATAATTTTTATTAAGGGTGTGCTATTTGGGATTTAAATTCGAAACTCCTTCATTCAAATGGACAACCATTATCACAGCATCAAAGGCATAGCTTTTGTCAAGGGTGTCCAACTTTAAATATATATTTTTCAAGTTTAAAATTTAACATATATATATAACGTAATTTTTCGACAAGAGTGTCCAGTTTGAACACCCTTGGTAGCTGTATGGGCTGTAGCTACGCCACTGTTTGCAATATTAATATGGTAAAAAAAAAAAAAAAAACATATTTTAAGTAGCTGTAGTTTTATGACCGGGAAGAAAGGGGTGCTTTTAGTGGTAATAGGCTTTTGTTTATTGATTTGAATCTTGGCACCTTATGAGACAAATGCTGCAAAAAAAAATTGTGATCTGTTAGAATTAATGGGGGAAATAAAGGAATCACAGAGTTTAAATTTTATACCATAATAATGTAAAAATTATTTAAACAAGATTACTTATTAGATAATTATAATTATTTTTCTTATAAATATGGAGTAATTAATAATCTTATAAAAATGTTGACCCGCCTGCCTGATAAAAATTTACTAATTAATAATATACACGACAATAAGAACCTAGAATGTACATTGATATTTCATTTTTCTGTGAAGATAGAAGGTTATTTCAGAGAGATTCTCATCTCAAATGCAGTTATTCCGAATAATATAAAACACTTCAACAAAAAACAGTTAAAAGTCTATTAAAAAAAAAGCAATAACAATAATAAAAGTAGTATACAACAATCAAAAACACATTAAAATTTAATATTCTCTGTCCCTAATTACTTGTCCACTTTTGAATTGACACACCTATTAAGAAAACATTTATTAACATAGTGAGTTTACAATTTTACCCCTATTAATTATGAAGTGCATTAATTAAAAACTTAAGATTTTCAAGAAGTTTTACCTTTTTCAAAGTAATTAATTGAGGGTATAATAGATAAAAAAAAATTATTTTTTCTTGATTTGTCAAAATATACAAGTAATTAGGAACAACTAAAAAAGAAAAAGTGGACAAATAATTAGGAACATAGAGGAGTAGATCAATGTTAAATCATTTTCAAGTTCAACGCAACATGTAATAATTGACATAAGATTATCTCATTTAAATTGATTGTTAATTGGTCCTATCTAGCATGGTTCATGTGACCTCGAGGGAGAGAAGAGTATATTGTGTTCTATATAAATGAATTGATGATATTTATTTTTATAAATTTAAAATAAATAAATTATTTAAATTTTAAGAATATATAAGTATAATAATTTATTTATTAGATTTATCCTTCTTTTTAATAGGGTTTTAATTTATTTTTAAATCTCAAATAGGGATTATCTCAAGTTTTAAGAAAAGTTTGGGAAAAGTCAAAAAGAATAATATTGACAAATTACTCTTCGATTTATGTTTTAAAATATTTATCTATATTAATTAACAAGACTAATTTAATAGCTCCCTCCCCTCCGGAATTTTGATGTTTTAGTTTTTAAAAGTTAATTCAAAATAATTGATGTTTCACAAGATCAAGGTATTTAATTTATTTAAAAAAAAAATATTCTTGACCCATTTCTAATTCAATTTTAATGAGAATTATATCAACTTAAAAAGGAAAAAAAATCTTAATTAAAGTTATTTTAATTTATATCCCTCTAATTTTAAAAAATAAGTGAATTTCTTAATTCATCCATTCAAAACTATGATAGCTAAAGCAAATAAAAAACCATCAATTGATTGAAGAGAAGAATTCAATACAACCAGAAGCCCTAAAACTTTTTAAAAAAAATTCCCCTCGAGAACGGCTAAGGAGGTGTAGGTTAATTAGCTACTACTCAAACTTATTTAAGGGACGGTGATCCGTATCTTTTTTCATGTTTTAGGCAGTGATTTGCTTATTTTTTAATCTAAAAAAATACTTTCTTCGTTCACTTTTATTCATTCAAGATAAAATGTATATTTATAATGATGTCCACTAATGTATAATTTTTAATTAATTTAAAATTAATACGTAATCCTAAGAATATAACAAGAAGGAGAATTATCTTTTATTTGATACGTAAAATTTACAAGTAATAAAATAAAATTTTATTTTAAATATAACGAACAAGTAAATAATATTGACTATAAATCCACCTCTCAATCCTCGACATGTTAATTAGACAATATCTTCCTACCATGCTATGCGTGCAAATCAACAAAATTGTACCATGCTATGCGTGCAAATCGACAAAATTGAAATGCACGAGGATATTATATTATATAGAACGATTTGGAATAAAGTTTAAAAAAATTAATTTTGTAAAGTATTTTTAAATTTTGTAGCCTTAAATCTATTACGTGAAAAACTAAAATTAAAATATTATTAAAAAAATAATTTTTTAAAATAGATTTAAAAAAACTAGATCATTATTTTTTTACGAAAAGAAATACTCCTAGCATATATAAGTATCAGATCCGTGGACCGTGGCATATATTCTCGATTACAGCAATGTAATACTTAGGATTATTATTTTAATTAAAGAAATAATTATTGGTGATTGGTCTCATCAGTCATGACTCATGAATCATGTGATTGCAAGTGGGACAACATTTGAGTTTTTTCTTTTTTTGATATTAACTCCAAATTTTATTCATAGTAAAAAATAAGGTTATAGATGATTTGAGGATTTTCATCTTCTTTTAAAAAAAGAAAGAAAATTACCAACCTGCATTGATCATTGATAAGTAAAAGGTATAGTTTAATTTGAGTTTGGCATACAAATTACATCGTGATCTAAGGGTAGGGTCAAAGTTAGCTTCGCTCTACTAAGTTAACACCAAAAATATAATTTTAGAGCATGTTTGAATTGTCTTTTGATTTTACTTGATTTTCTGAGTTGAAAGTTAGGTAATAGGTACTATCTCTTTTTATAAAGCGATATCAATTTTAATTTAATTTTAATTACAATGTAATTAACCAAATTAAACTCCTACTATGTTAATTAATATGAAAAATTGAAGTTTAGTTCACTGAAATTAGGCTTACTTAGAGTATTTGTGGATATGTACTAGCAATGTTATAGTTCTTCGGATAGATTTGTATGCACAAATTTAGATTCTTTTAATATTTTGTTGGTAGGTAAATGTGTACTAACAAACGAAAAATCAGAAATCTTGTTAAAACTGTTTTTTTTTTAATTTGGAATTTCAAAATAAATTCACAGCCGCTACAATTTCTACCACAACCTCTGCCCTTCGGATAGAGCTGTTAAAATGGGCTTGGCCCGCTAGGCCGGCCCAACTCAACCCATGAATTAAGTGGGGTTGAGCTTAATTTTGTAAGCCCATTTAGGAACGAGGCTTTTTAGCCCAGCCTCATTTGGCCCGTGATGAGTCCACAATTTGGACTCATTTAGGGCTTCATTTTAATATAATTAGTGTCCTCAAATGCATATTTTGTCTCAATAACTGATGTAAATCATTAAGTTTCAGGTATTTGGAGTTTGAGGCAAAGCATGGACACTACTTGGCAAAAAGGAACAAAACGGCTGAAAAGACGAAGAAAAGAAGGTCTGAGAATCGCCTAATGCATTAGGCGAGTCGCCGAATGGCCTCAACCTCGCCCAAAGTTCAAGAGTGTTGAGGCCTGAAGGAAAAGATCAAGTCGGCGATGAAAAAGAGTTGTCGACGCGTCGCCGAACAGTTCCGCGAAGCAGTACTATATCGCCCAATGATCCAGAACGTGAAGATGTTGAAGGCAAAAGCTGAAAGGCGATGAAGCAGACCAAAGGGCAGATCGCCGTGTGCATCGACGATCCCGACTAACTGCGCCGAGTGATCCTTCATAGCACATTTTTTTTACTACTATAAATATTAGTTTGAATTTTTATCGTAGTATGCAAATTCAGATACAACATTTTATTTTTCTAAGTTTTCAAGTAGAGAACATTTTTTCTTAGCCCTTGAAGACTTCCAATACCAAGAAATTGGAAGTGGGTGTTGAAGATTCTTCATCC